ACATAAACTATTTTTTTATGGGAGCTCTACTAAATACGCATAGCGGGGTAGGGTATCATATAGTCGGCCCCGCCCGACTTTTGACCTTTCCTTAGTGGGTTTTTCATTGAAATACGGTTTTTGAATCTATACCCGGTTTGTAGCCCCGCTTAATATGCACAGCGGTGTAGAGTATCATATAGTCGGCAACGTCCAACTTTTGTCTATTCCTCGTCGATTAGTAATGGCTTAGTTTCTATCTGTTAATTACTGGGTAATTCAAAATAACACCTCTTCTCCTTAATTTCTGAGACAACAAATTTTCATCAAAAACACAGTTTTTCGACTAAAGCATTCCTCAAACCGGATGCATTTTATTTCTTCAAACACTCAATAGGTTATGGGTTTATTTAGCCTCTATATATATTTCAACATAATTCCCATATAAGTCCTCCCAAATACCTTTGAGTTATAATATATACTACTGCGAAACTAAAACAATACCTCACCAAATTGAAATTATTATCTATTCATTGGAAATGGGGAAAAAGAATTCAATACCCTCAAAATTAATGTTCTTATTTATATTCCCCAGTACTGTATAAATACAAAGAAATATTACATCCAATAAGGACTTATGTTTGCGAATCCTTAGCATTTGCTTTTTGTGGTTCAAATGTAACCAGCATGAATTTAAGTCAGTCCCCCTCCCCCGCCCAGAGTAGTCGATGTGGTATTATTATTCAATGATATTTAATATACACTGGGACATATGAGTAGGAGTGATTATGTTATACCTGATTGTTGTTGGCACACACATACGTACATACATAAATATATTCACAAACATACAATATGTATGTTAAGGGGATTAAATGACATTAGCCATGTAATACATTTTTATACGGCTTTCCACACATTGTTATTTTGTCATATATATATGTGTGTGTGTATGTGTATATTTTTCTCTTTCGCCCGCTCTCTGTCACTCTCCAGCCTGCTTGTAGTTGTAGAACTTTGGTAATAGAATATTCCTGATATCAAGGTCATTTATAAAACGTAAGAACCGAAAAGAAACTCCTCTTCTTTAACTTTTCCTCCACAGCATATCTAGCAACAGCTTGGCGTACATATATGCCTCTTTTGGTCTTATTCGATTTCCTCCTCCAATGGAGATAGTTGTGTCTTTTCTTTGCATTTTTTTTTTCTTTGTTTGTTTGTCGTCTTTAATATCAATCTGATATCGAATTATTTACCTACCATCATCATACCTTGTTTCATGGCATTATTTTCAATTCTCTTCAAAACAAGTTGTTGGCTAATGAAGGTATCATATATTCTATTGTTGGGTCTAGTAGCTACCTATTCAGTACTTTTATATATTCATAAGCATTTAGAATGAGGATATATATAAAAAATGAGAATAATTTGTTGCCATGTATGCTTAGTTGAATGTGTGTGTGTGTGCGTACATGTGTATGTCTTTTTATATTTTCTGTCATTATTAAAGTAACAAAGGTATGATAATAATACTCCAAGACCTTGGGGTATATCACGACATGTGTTACGAGCCCAATGAGGAAAGGTAGTAATAATAAGTGGTGGAGGAAAAATATTACATTGTTGACAATCATATTTAGTTGGCTATTCTATTACATCCGTATTCAAGAAATATTTACGAATGTGCCCCAGAGAAGTAAAGCCTTGTAAGCTGAGGATATAAGAGGATAAAATATATGATTTATTTTCGGAAAAGAAACCAATTACAATGGGAATCGTACAAAATTTTTAGACTGTTGAAGCTTGTTATTAAAGTAGTAAAGTAGTTGAAGGAATGTGAATTGAAATCAATGTTGTCTAAATTTATCAATATTATAGCTGTAATATACCTGCAAAGTTTAATCCTAGAAGCCTAGTTGTCCATCCTTAAAACAGTTTCTAGAAACAAAAACTTTATCAGATGACTCCTCACCATGTGAGTAGTCCTTCAAAATTTTTCCGAAAAATTCACAATGTCAGTTAGTCCTTCAAGATTTAACAGTCGATCAGAACTATGAAAAAAATTAAATGAATATGGCTATTAAAAAATCCCTCAAAAATTGTTTATATGCTTTTATTTGACCTTTGCACTCAGTCAGAAAATCTCTGGGAAGTAAAATGGAAGTTTATTTTTTTTTTTTTTGAGAAAATCATTAGATTTCCTGATGATGATTGCCGATGTCGATCCAAATTTTGAAACGAAATCATAAAATAATATTTACTTTATTCTACTGACCTTGAGCAATTCAAATAAAGAACTGTAAAAAAGAATAAGTCAATTTTGCCGAAAGTTGGTATAAATCTGCCACCCAATGTTTGTTTATTTAAATACTAGAAGGTGTCCGATAATTCGTCAATATCAAACTTGATAATTTCCCAATATTACATTTAGTACCATATAATCATATATATTTCCCAATACTTAATTTAGTACCATTTGTTACTTTTTGTACAAATAGAGGTCGCATTTCTAAATCATCAAATTCTAAATCATATCAATCAGATACCCTTAGTAATCTAAATATAAGATTTATATAATTTTATCACTACACCTTCACTCAATACCAATCAATTATAATAAAAATTTTCCAAACCATCTTTATATATGCAGGCTACACATGAACGGCGACCCTTATACCAAATTTCGGATTTCATGCACTATATGTTCACCCAATACCTAACTGTATTAAATTTAGTACACATCTCCTAAGCTACCTTCATATATCAAAATTTACGTTTCAACCTTAATGCTCATACCAAATTACAAGTTTTTCCTTCAAACGTTCAAATAACACCTTGAAAAAATATTCTTTAAAAATCCACGTTTATTGGTCCTTGAAAAAATATTCTTTAAAAATCCACGTTTATTGGTCCTTGAAAAAATATTCTTTAAAAATCCACGTTTATTGGTCCTTGAAAAAATATTCTTTAAAAATCCACGTTTATTGGTCCTTGAAAAAATATTCTTTAAAAATCCACGTTTATTGGTCCTTGAAAAAATATTCTTTAAAAATCCACGTTTATTGGTCCTTGAAAAAATATTCTTTAAAATCCACGTTTATTGGTCCTTGAAAAAATATTCTTTAAAAATCCACGTTTATTGGTCCTTGAAAAAATATTCTTTAAAAATCCACGTTTATTGGTCCTTGAAAAATATTCTTTAAAAATCCACGTTTATTGGTCCTTGAAAAAATATTCTTTAAAAATCCACGTTTATTGGTCCTTGAAAAAATATTCTTTAAAAATCCACGTTTATTGGTCCTTGAAAAAATATTCTTTAAAAATCCACGTTTATTGGTCCTTGAAAAAATATTCTTTAAAAATCCACGTTTATTGGTCCTTGAAAAAATATTCTTTAAAAATCCACGTTTATTGGTCCTTGAAAAAATATTCTTTAAAAATCCACGTTTATTGGTCCTTGAAAAAATATTCTTTAAAAATCCACGTTTATTGGTCCTTGAAAAAATATTCTTTAAAAATCCACGTTTATTGGTCCTTGAAAAAATATTCTTTAAAAATCCACGTTTATTGGTCCTTGAAAAATATTCTTTAAAAATCCACGTTTATTGGTCCTTGAAAAAATATTCTTTAAAAATCCACGTTTATTGGTCCTTGAAAAAATATTCTTTAAAAATCCACGTTTATTGGTCCTTGAAAAATATTCTTTAAAATCCACGTTTATTGGTCCTTGAAAAATATTCTTTAAAAATCCACGTTTATTGGTCCTTGAAAAAATATTCTTTAAAAATCCACGTTTATTGGTCCTTGAAAAATATTCTTTAAAAATCCACGTTTATTGGTCCTTGAAAAAATATTCTTTAAAAATCCACGTTTATTGGTCCTTGAAAAAATATTCTTTAAAAATCCACGTTTATTGGTCCTTGAAAAATATTCTTTAAAAATCCACGTTTATTGGTCCTTGAAAAAATATTCTTTAAAAATCCACGTTTATTGGTCCTTGAAAAATATTCTTTAAAAATCCACGTTTATTGGTCCTTGAAAAAATATTCTTTAAAAATCCACGTTTATTGGTCCTTGAAAAAATATTCTTTAAAAATCCACGTTTATTGGTCCTTGAAAAAATATTCTTTAAAAATCCACGTTTATTGGTCCTTGAAAAAATATTCTTTAAAAATCCACGTTTATTGGTCCTTGAAAAAATATTCTTTAAAAATCCACGTTTATTGGTCCTTGAAAAAATATTCTTTAAAAATCCACGTTTATTGGTCCTTGAAAAAATATTCTTTAAAAATCCACGTTTATTGGTCCTTGAAAAAATATTCTTTAAAAATCCACGTTTATTGGTCCTTGAAAAAATATTCTTTAAAAATCCACGTTTATTGGTCCTTGAAAAAATATTCTTTAAAAATCCACGTTTATTGGTCCTTAAAAAAATATTCTTTAAAAATCCACGTTTATTGATCTGATGGTCCTTGAAAAAAATATTCTTTAAAAATCCACGTTTATTGATCTAATGAAAAAAATATTCTTAAAAAATCCAGGTTTATTGATCTGATGGTCCTTGAAAAAAATATTGTTTAAAAATCCACGTTTATTGATCTGATGGTCCTTCAAAAAATATTCTTAAAAAATCCAGGTTTATTGATCTGATGGTCCTTGAAAAAAATATTGTTTAAAAATCCACGTTTATTGATCTGATGGTCCTTGAAAAAATATTCTTTAAAAATCCACGTTTATTGGTCCTTGAAAAAATATTCTTTAAAAATCCACGTTTATTGGTCCTTGAAAAAATATTCTTTAAAAATCCACGCTTCTTGGTCGGATGGTCCTAGAAAAAATATTCTTTAAAAATCCATGTTTATTGGTCTCTGAAAAAATATTCTTCGAAAATCCACCTTTATTAGTCCTTAAAATTTTTTTTTAATAATCCACATTTATCCAACCAATAAATTTCCTTGAAGAAATGTTCTTATGTATAGTCCTTCTAACAAAATTCTTAATATCTCTCTCTTTATTTTCAGGTCAGCGTAATATTCAGCTATATCGGTGTCAGTATTGTCCTATTCTTTGTATCGAGATTTTCACCCTATGAATGGCGAATTGTCCAATACCCAGCAGGTAAGTTGTATTTCCAACAAATACACCTAAAAAATCAGAAAAGAAATTATCCGTTGAAAGTACATCAATCTCTCAATCTCTGGGGTAAAATTTAAGCTGTTGCAAAATTTTACAAGGAATTATTTAATTTCACACACACACGGACACACATACACATCGAAAATCCGATGTGAACATATTTATGCAACAAATGTCATGTCGACAAATAAATGTGTGTTGTCGTGTTTTACTCACGTCTTTACAAGTCATACGCATGAAGTGTAATTTTAATACACGCTTGTGCGTGACACCCTTGTATCACGTTGTCATGGAGTCCAGGACATTCTCATGTCTGGTATGTGATATCAAAAAGAAAAAAAAGGCAACAAGAACAACAAATGCACACACACATATATATACATACATATGTACATGCATATTTTAACGTATAAAAATGTTGCCACTTGTTTTCAACCTTCAATAACAACAACATTAAAAGAACAACAAAAAATACATGAAAATACTGCAAAATAAACAGAAAATTCAAATCACTCATGTCAAAATGACTTATGCTGCCAGGAGCGATTTTTTTTGTCTTTTTGGGGAGAAATGGAGAGCTATCTACACAGACACACACATACACACACAAATGATCAAGTAGTTTCCCATGTAGCCATAAACCTGCATACAAATGTGTAAATGTGTTTATGTTATGTACATATATATGTGTGTGTGTATTAGTACATGTGCTTGCAATAATGATAGCTGGCCTGAATGCGAGCCTTAATTTAATTTTTGCGTAAAGATACAGGGCAGCAACAACAAAAAAAAAGAACAACAAACAAACAAAAAGACAACACAAACACAGACCCGTATATTCGGAAAAAAAGAGAGAAAAAGTAAAGTTTTCTTTTTTTCGTATGCCAGGCACGATAACCTCGAGGCAAGGTACACACACAAACACACACACAGTAGGAAAAAAATAACAAGAAACAAAAATACAACAAATGAACATACACTTACATACTTACAAAAATTATTCACAGAATTCATAGCTACCATTCATCCAGCCACCCATCCATATGTACACTTGTTAACATCTAGCCAGACATTGCTACGAACACGTTGTTGTTGTTGCTGTTCTTGTGTAATTTTTTCATGATTCAAACGAAGTTCTACATATGGACTATGTGAAGTCATGAGGAATAAAAAAGTCAAAGGACCAACCATCAAATATCTGCCTCAGCGTCATACTGCTCAGAAACCATGAAAGGCCGATCTAGGTAGATGGGTCGGTGTCTGTGGGTGGGTGTGTCTTTGTGTGTGTGAAAATAAACAAAAAAAAATTTTGTGTCTCAAAAAAGAGGGGAGCGCGTAAGTGTACCATAGCATAGATAACTACTATCAATGCCGCTGGGTCACAAGCAATTCCAAGTTATAGGGGAACACCCGAGCTATTCTCAAGCACTAGACCGTAGCTCTTTGGAATATTTTGCAGTTCATTCTTTTGGATTCTGGGAAAGGAAAAAAGACATATCAAGCACCTAAGAAAAATTATCCGCAAATTGCAAAAAAAAATAGTGAATAAAGTCCTAAAGTAGGGCGTGGCCGTCTTTATGATACCCTACATTACTTTGCATACTTTGTAGAGCTTCACTTAACAAATAAACGTTTTAATGGGGAATTTTTGAGAACTAAATTATACCAACTATGATTATAGTACTAATTAAAAGTCCAAAGGAACTAATATATGGGATGAATATCCTCCTCTGAATCGATGTTCACTAAATTTGCCGAGACATTTGCGAATTTTCAATTCGGGCTTGTATAATCCATTTAGTGCACAAGTAACTTGAAATCGGATAATGATATATATGGGAGCTATATCCAACTCTGAACCAATCTCGATAAAATTTGGCAAAAATATTTCTGAGCTGTATTTGATATATCTCCCCGAATATCGTTACTACGAAAACCATATTACGGCTATGCAGGGCAAATTCAACAAATCGGATAAACAATATTTATGGGAGCTATAGTTATATCTGAACCGATATCCACAAAGTTTGACATACTAGCTTCTTGACTCAGTTCGGTCGTAAATGCCAAGTTCCATCCCATTTGGACAAATATTAGGCGTTTGGTGCACAATACAGGGTTGCCCGTATTCGACGGACCTTTGGGCCCATTCCAATCGACGAGGCTTGTCCGCAGCCAACATTCTTTGCGTCAATTGAATTTTGTACGGGAACAAATGAAAATCAATTCGAATAATCCGTTGTAAAGTGGACCGAGCCATGCCCAACTGCTGAGAACGGCGTTTTTGGGATGTTCTTGGGGACCTCTCACACTGGCTCGTACGGTAGCGATATTCTCGGCCGATCGCCTTGGTCGACTTTTATATGGCCTCTTCGGATTAGAAAAAGCCTTACCAGTCGAAAATTTTTCGTATAAACGCTTAATGGCGTTCTTAGAAGGCGCACTTCTCACATTTTTTAATGTTTTAAAAGCACGTTGAGTTTTTACAATTGACTTCTTCTGTTGAATGTAAATTTCAACAATTTCAGAGAGCTCGCGTGGCGTGTATTGGTTCATGCTAAAAAACTGCTTGGACTGATGCTTCAAACGCGGTATGTCATTAAGCGATGTGACATCTCTGTCAAAAGTTATGGCGTTGCCAGATGGGTCCGTCGAATATGGGCAACCCTGTATAAGGTAAATCGGACGAAGTTATATATGGGAGCTATATCCAAATCTGAACCGATCTCGATAAAATTTGGCAAAGATATTTCTGAGTTGTATTTGATATAACTCCCCGAATATCGTTACTACGGAGTCCATATTACGACTATGCAGGGCAAATTCAACAAATCGGATGAACAATATATATGGGAGCTATAGCTATATCTGAACCTATTTCGCTCAAATTAGGCATACTTATTTTTAGGCTTAATTTGGTTGTATGTGCAAAATTCCATTCCATTTGGTGCAAAATAAAAGGGAAATCGGACGAAGATATATGTGGGAGCTATATCTAAATTCTGACCGATTATCTACAATTTCAATAGGGTTCATCCTTGGGTCAAACAAATGATTTGGTCAAAATTTCATTTGGATAGGGCAATAAATACGTTTTTGGAAATATGGGTCCTTGAAGAAATATATTTTTTAAGCTCTCGTTTATTGGTATATAGGTCCTTGAGAGACTATATTTCAAAATGCATTTTAACGACCTTTAATTTTTTTTAATTCGAAGTCCATTTATTGGAAGTCCCAGGCCCGTAAATTTTTTTCCAAAAAAAAAAAAAAAATACAAAAATTCCCAGGAATTTGTTTTTAATTCTGTTTTAATGGGTTCCAAGTTTTGAGGCTCAAATCTTCTCCAAAAATATGTTCTCGAAAATTTAAATATTTTTTTTTTTAATTAAAAAATATGCTTTTAAAATCAAATTTTAGCCTTTGAAAAAATATTTTTAAAATCTACATTAAGTGGTTTTTATGGACTTAAGTTGTCCCTTTTCCTTATAGAAAAATTTTTAAAATCAAATTTTGGTCCTATACTTTATATTTTTAAAAATCCATGTTTTTGACTACTAATTTACGTTTTGTGGCTTGAATCCACACTTTGCGGCTTTTTTGGTCATTGAAAAAAATATTTTTAAAAATCCTTGTTTTGGCCCTCGTAAATATTTTAAAAAATTCATGTTTTGTGGCTCTATTTGTCCTAAAATGAATTATATTTTTTATACACAACCGCTAAAAGCTTTCCTATTTAAATCCATGATTTTTAGAGATCTTTTGATAATTAGGCCGAAGCTAGAATTTTGAACGCGTTTTGTTGCAAAGGCGTTTGTTTATACCCTTTGTAACCATGTGATTGAGGTTATAAATGGTCTACGTGTTCTTAAAATAATGTTCTTTTTAAGATCCACGTTTATGGAAATATGGGTCCTTGAAGAAATATATATTTTAAGCTTTCGTTTATTGGTATATGGGTCCTTGAGAGACTATATTTCAAAATGCATTTTAACGACCCTTATTTTTTTAATTCAAAGTCAATTTATTGGAAGTCCCAGGCCCGTAAATTTTTGTTTCCAAAAAAATATACAAAATATTCCCAGGAATTTGTTTTTAATTCTTTTTTTAGGGGTTGAAATTTTTGAGGCTCAAATCTTCTCTAAAAATATGTTTTCGAAAATTTAAATATTTTTTTTTTAAATTAAAAAAAAAAATATAAAATCCAATTTTAGCCTTTGAAAAAATATTTTTAAAATCTATATTAAGTGGAGCTTATGGTCTTGAGTGGCCCCTTTTCCTTAGAGGAAAAATTTCTAAAATCAAATGTTGGTCCTTGAGAAAATATATTTTTAAAAATCCAAGTTTTTGGTCCTTGAAAAAAATATTTCTACTAATTTACGTTTTGTGGCTTGAATCCACACTTTGCGGCTTTTTTGGTCATTGAAAAAAATATTTTTAAAAATCCTTGGTTTGACCGTCGAAAATTTTTATAAAAAATTCATGTTTTGTGGCTCTAAAATAATAATTTTTAGGAATATTTTGATTATTAGGCCGAAGCTAGAATTTTGAACGCGTTTTGTTGCAGAGGCGTTTGTTTATACCCTTTGTAACCATGTGATGGAGGTTATAAATGGTCTACGTGTTCTTAAAATAATATTCTTTTTAAGATCCACGTTTTTGGAAATATGGGTCCTTGAAGAAATATATTTTTTAAGCTCTCGTTTATTGGTATATAGGTCCTTGAGAGACTATATTTCAAAATGCATTTTAACGGCCTTTAATTTTTTTTTTTGTAATTCTAAGTCGGAAGTCCCAGACTCGTAAATTTTTGTTTCCAAAAAAATATACAAAATATTCCCAGGAATTTGTTTTTAATTCTTTTTTAAGGGGTTGCAATTTTTGAGGCTCAAATCTTCTCTAAAAATATGTTTTCGAAAAATATATATTTTTTAAATTAAAAAAAAAAATATAAAATCCAATTTTAGCCTTTGAAAAAATATTTTTAAAATCTACATTAAATGGATCTTATGTTCTTGAGTGGCCCCTTGTCCTTAGAGGAAAAATTTTTAAAATCAAATGTTGGTCCTTGAGAAAATATATTTTTAAAAATCCAAGTTTTTGGTCCATGAAAAAAATATTTCTACTAATTTACGTTTTGTGGCTTGAATCCACACTTTGCGGCTTTTTTGGTCATTGAAAAAAATATTTTTTAAAAATCCTTGATTTGACCCTCGAAAATTTTTATAAAAAATTCATGTTTTGTGGCTCTAAATGGATTATATTTTTTTTATACACAACCATTAAAAGGTTTCCTATTTAAATCCATAATTTTTAGGGATATTTTGATAATTAGGCCGAAGCTAGAATTTTGAACGCGTTTTGTTGCAGAGGCGTTTGTTTATACCCTTTGTAACCATGTGATGGAGGTTATAAATGGTCTACGTGTTCTTAAAATAATATTCTTTTTAAGATCCACGTTTTTGGAAATATGGGTCCTTGAAGAAATATATTTTTTAAGCTCTCGTTTATTGGTATATAGGTCCTTGAGAGACTATATTTCAAAATGCATTTTAACGGCCTTTAATTTTTTTTTTTGTAATTCAAAGTCGGAAGTCCCAGGCTCGTAAATTTTTGTTTCCAAAAAAATATACAAAATATTCCCAGGAATTTGTTTTTAATTCTTTTTAAGGGGTTTCAATTTTTGAGGCTCAAATCTTCTCTAAAAATATGTTTTCGAAAAATATATTTTTTTAAATTAAAAAAAAATATAAAATCCAATTTTAGCCTTTGAAAAAATATTTTTAAAATCTACATTAAATGGATCTTATGGTCTTGAGTGGTCCCTTTTCCTTAGAGGAAAAAATTTTAAAATCAAATGTTGGTCCTTGAGAAAATATATTTTTAAAAATCCAAGTTTTTGGTCCTTGAAAAAAAATATTTCTACAAATTTCCATTTTATGGCTCTACTGGTCATTGAAAAAAATTAAATCTAAAATTTGGGGATTTGTTGGTCCTGGATAATTTTTTTTAATCCATGTTTTGACCCTTGAAAAGCGTTTTAAAAATCCACATTTTGTGGCTGTAGTGGTCCTCAAAGGATTTTTTTAATACACAACGGTTAGAAGCTTTTCTCTTTCAGTCCATGATCTTTTGATAATTGAACTTGTAATAATACGTTTAAAAGAAAGTCCAAGTATTAATTGTTCTTGGAAAATATGAATAAAATACATTTTCAAAATTCAGTATCGTTTATTTTCCAATTTGTTGTTTATTTATTTATTTATATTTTTTTTTGAGAATCTTCAAAGTATTTAGTACTTGAAATAAGACTTTAAAAATATTTTGAAAAATACATAATATTTCTTTTTAAAAAATAATATTCTTTACCAAATAACAGCTTCGGCAATCCTTGAAATATATTCTTCAAAAAAATGAAAATTGTGCTTTTGAATGTTCTTTTCTCAATACGCTCTTCCATTTCATGGAGAAGAGAGAAATTATTCCCCCCTCACCCAAAGAAAGTACTTTCGGAGAACTTTTGTGAAATCGACAGAAATGTTGGCACAAACAGAAGAACAATGCCAATTTCAGCAGATGTAGGCAAAAGTATTGCAATGAATAGTTAGTAAATCATGCCTTACATATATATGTATATACAAAATGCTTTGTATGTGTCTTCGGCCAGATGTTGTTTCATACATATGTAGCTATGAATGTATGTGTGTACGTACATTGCAAGTTGAAATGAATTTCAGCAAAGAGCAGTGAAAAAAGCCTTCTTAAAGAAAGGAAAAAAAATATTCACAAGGAAATGAAAAAAAGTGAGGCGTAACAGACATTCCCATTTGTCGAATATGAAAGCATTTTTTCTCTGTATCAGAGAAATTTTGGCAGTTCTTTTTAAGGAGGCATATGAAAACTAAAAAAATACAAATAAATCCGAAAAAATGGAGTTGCATTACAATTTGACTTTTAAAATAAAGTTTAATTTGTTTTTCTTAAATTTTAACTTTTATTTCCCCTTTTTTTTTGTGTTTTTTTTTTCAGAAAACCATGCACATCATGACCAACTTGCCAATCAACAACCGCCGGGCATCATTGGCGGTGTACCAGTACCCGGACCCATGCCAGCCGTAACACCAGGTGCCACCGGAGTCGTCGGTGGCCCCGCAATACCACCAGCATCCGCAGCTGTCAATGATTTTAGCATTTTAAATTCGTTTTGGTTTTCATTGGCTGCCTTCATGCAGCAGGGTTGTGACATATCACCGCGCTCGATATCTGGCCGGATTGTCGGTGCCGTCTGGTGGTTCTTCACCCTCATACTCATCTCATCGTACACAGCCAATTTGGCAGCTTTTCTTACGGTTGAACGAATGGTTACACCAATAAATTCCCCCGAGGATTTGGCCATGCAAACAGAGGTACAATACGGTACACTGTTGCACGGTTCGACGTGGGATTTCTTTCGGGTGAGTAACACGAAAATTTAATTTTGTATATTTGGGAATATATGGTGTTTTTTAGGTATTTAATGACTATTGGATGAAGGGATGAGTGTTTAGGGAGGTCCTTAAAATAATTAATTGCATGAGGCAACAATAAAATGCTTAAATTTATTACTAACTTTTTTCATCTCATCACAATATCGGGAGGAAGAGCTTCCTTGAAGCAAATGTTTATTGCACTTTAAAGTTATTGTAAAAAATGCAATATTATGGATTGGATTGTTGCCCAAAGAATATTTGAAAATGTCCATGCTTTGATATTCCCGCCAAAATATATAAAATCCAAAATTAAGGCCTTAATTATTCCTCAAAAAATATTTAAAATATTTCAATTTCCTCGAAAAATATTTTTAATAACTCTACGATTGGTGGTCAAAATTATTTAAAAAAATATTGAAAAAAAATTAAATATTGAAAACAATAATAAACGAATACGATTTAAGACTTAAAAGTCTTAAAAAAATATTTGAGGTAAATTTTCCACAGAAAACATTTGGAACAGTCATAATGAGGCCAATATCCCCTAAAAACTGCATCCTTAAAATTCCATCAAAAGTATTTATAAAAAAATATACGTTTTGTGGCTTTGGTAGACCACGAGAAAGACCAGGTTTTGGGCCTTGAAAAATATTAAAAAAATATATTAACGTTTTACTCCATTAAAAAATTTAAAGAAGACCTTAATTTTTTTTAAATATATGTCCACGTTTTATGTCTCTAATAGTCCACAAAAAGCTTTTCCAACATTTTTGGTAAAAAATCCACGTTTTATATCTCTAATAGTCCTTTAAAACCATTTCTAAAATTTTGCAGAATCCACGTTTTACTTTTACTTTTACTTTTAAAAATCTACATTTTATAACTTTAAAAGTCCTTTAAAAATTATTCTTAATAATCCCTATTTTATAACTTTAAAGATCCTTTAAAAATTATTCTTGAAATCGTCGTTTAATCACTTTAAAGGTCCTTTAAAAATTATTTTTTAAAAACGACGTTTAATAACTTTAAATGAACTTTAAAATTATTTTTAAAAATCCACGTTCAATAACTTTAACGGTCCTTAAAAATTATTTTTAAAAATCCACGATTCACAATATTAAATGTCCATTAAAAATCCATGTTTTTTAACTTTAAAAATTTTGTCTCTCCAATGGTCGATGGAAAAAAAATTTTAAATCCATTTTTGTGGTTTAAAATATTAAAAATAAAATATTGGACAAATCTATTAAAAACCCAGCTTTTGAATCCTGTATAGCTTTAATGGTCTATGAAAATATATTTTAAAATCTCCAAGTTTTAAGACTCTAAATGTCTTTCAAAATATATTTTTCTTTCTTTCAAAATATATTTGTAAAACTCCACGTTTTATGGCTCTAATGACTTTTGAATTTTTTTTTTAAATATTCACGTTTTATGGCTTTAATGGCCTTGGGAAAAATATTTTTTAAAATCCACGTTTTATGGATCTACTGGTCTTTGAAAAAATGTTTTGGACAATCTATGTTTTATAACTTCAAAAGTGCTTTAAAAAATATTTTTAAAAATCCAAATTTTAAAAATTTTAAATTCTTTTAAAGTTTATCTTTAAACTCGACGCTTTATATCTATATACGTCCTTTAAAATTATTTCTAAAAATCCATGTTTAATAACTTTAAAAATCCCTTAAAAATTATTTTTAAAAGTTTTCGTTTTTTTTTTCAAAATCCACGATTTATAACTTTAAATGTCCTTTAAAAGTTATTATTAAAATCCACATTTTATAATTTAAAGGTCCTTTAAATTATTTTTAAAAATCAATATTTTATAACTTTAAATATCCTTTAAAAATTATTATTAAAACCCACATTTTACAAATTTATAGGTCCTTTCAATTATTTTTAAAAATCCACGTTTTATAAATTTGTAAGTCCTTTAGATTTTTTTTTTTAAATCCAAGTTTTTTTGTGCCGAATGGTCGATGAAAAAGTATATTTAAAAAATCCATTTCTGCGGTTCAATATTCTTTGAAAAAAATTTCTTCAATATCAATATTTTGGATCCTTTAAAACTTTAATGTCCTTTGGAAAAAATAGATTCACGTTTTATAGTTCTAATGGTCCTTCGAAAAAATATTTTATAAAAATCCACGTTTTGTGACTCAAATGGACCTAGAAAAATGTTACAAAAATCAACATTTTATGGCTCTACTGATCTTTGAAAAAATATTTTAAAAAATCCATGTTTTAAGGATCTAATAAACCTACTAAAAATTTAAAAAGAAATCCAGGCCCTAACAGTCTCTAAAATGCAAGTTAGAGGTTTAAATATACTTAAAAAACCCCCTATTAAACACATAAAATAATACAGGGAAAATCCAACAGTTTATGGAAGTAGATCTATAAATAGAAGACAAGTGTATCGGCATTTTGATAGTTTACATCGCTAAGTAACTCGAATAGAGCGGGCAAGTTCCCCCCTCTTCCACATTTTTTTTTTTTTTAAATTTTCAGACTAAGTTCTTATACTCTCAGCAATATGGTTTATATAATTTATATTTCATATAAAGTGAAGGAAGTAGTCGATATAGTCCAAACCTGGCACGTCACAATATTTATATCATATTTATTTAGGACCGATAGGAAATAAACAATAACAATATTGGCCCACTCCTTTTGAACCAACTCCATAGAGGGTCAACAATTTGAGTAATCATAACATAAGTCAAAATATATTTAAATTCTTAAGGTTATGCTAATATTTTAAAAAGCCATGATATAGTGTCTTCCTTATCTTGTACATTTTTTTTTTTTAATTAAGCAAATATTGTTGCTCGGAATATTCTAAAAAATAATTTTAAGGCCCAAAACTGTCCCTCGAAAATTCCTCTCAAATATATTCCTCATTTATCAGATAAAAGTTTTGATAGACGTTCAAAATTTTTTTATGACTCAAATACCTGCTAGTGAAGGCTGAGACACCTTTCAATTCCATTCTGCATCCTTTGTTTCAATTGAGGGTTTTTTTTTTTGTAAAAAAGAAAATCTTTAATATGCAATCCAACCATGTGACACATTTCTTATGGGTTCATAAACATTTCATTTTCTGTTTGACAATTCAATTTAAATTTAAAAAAAAAAAGACAAACGCACACACTCACACAGACTCAAGTTGCAACAGTCTGCAGTATGATATCATAAAACTTAGTAAATTGAAATCTTTTTTTCTTTTTTTCTTTGCAACCGCCAACCACACACCACACTTGTCTCTGCAACTTTCTTCTAGCATTCCATTCGATTTCGATTATTGATCCCAATATATTTCTGTGCATTGCTACTCCCTCTCTTTCACTCCTCGGGTTTTGCAGTCGTTGCAGTGCAGTGTCACTTGGCTTTTTCGTTTGTGCAATCAGTATAATTTCTCTACTTTCTCACTTCCATTCCAATCATTTTGCATCCGTAACAATTTGCATATTTCCATAGCCAACAACAACAACAACAACAACAGCGATGATGACGACTACGAAAATATCAAAAAGAAAAATTTTGTGTTTCTTTGGGGTCGGGGTGTGTGTGTGTTTGACACACACACACACGAGCGCGTAGCGAACTAATGGCTTCTGGTTAAGACAGAAAACACATATTTTGTGGAACTCCGGCTGCATTCAGTTGAGAAAAACTGACAAACCAAGCCAAAGGACTGGCGGGGCCCAAAAACTTTATTTTGTGTGTGTGTGTGTTGGTAGGTTTGGTTGTATTTTTTTCCGCTGTGACATTTGACTGATGTGCGGTGCAATTAGTTTTGACAAGGAAATGCAAACGACAATCTCTGCGCTCTCATTTAATGTATGCTGTGACACGCATATTTACTTGTCACAAAGCCCACATCGCAGATATTTGAGTTAGCAGGCGAACCCAGAGAGAGGGAGAGTCAGCCAACCTACCAGCCATCCAGCTAACCAACACCGCTAACCCTGTTTGTATCTACTTTAAGGCTTGGCAATTGTCAGCAGCAACAACAGCATCAGTGAAATATTTTCCCGGTTTGTTTGAGCCTTTATCCGCTGCAAATGCTCGAGCGAGAGTGTCGCATATCATGGCAAAACTGTTGACGCTGTCATCGTCCTGTCGGCTGGTGTCTATCGTTTTAACATTCCAACGCCATACGTTATATGTCTCCAGCCAGCTTTCACTGGAGTGTCGCTGATTTGTGTTTTGTTTCTGCAATATTTTAGTGGGGTATCGCAAATGTTTTGATTTCATGAATTCTTAAAGGCAATAAGGCTCATTCGAAATGTTGTTTCAAAACGACACACATTTCCATAAATGCGAGGAGGAGGTTGCGGCAATTTCCTGGGTTATTGGAAAATTTAATGGATGAAATTTGATTGAAAATGAAAAATATTTAATTAAAAAATTTAAAACAGATTCAAACCCGAACAATTGTTGGGTTCCATGGTTATTTGCTTTTGTACCGGTTGACCTACAAAATATGTTTGAGACTCGATTAATTCAGCAGGCATATAACAAAAAATAGGTCACCAAGAATTTGTTATTTTCGAACCGTAAATCCTTAAAAAAGAAGAGTAAATTGTTTGTTTGTTTAAAAAAATTCCTAATAACCAAAAAAAATCTCAAAAATGCCACGATATCTGTCATTTTTATCTGAAAAAAATAGGCTCAAGGAAACAAGAATAATTCTACTACGATTCCTTGAAAATATCATTAAAAATTGGTTCGATTTTCTTAAAAATCGACTTTAACAGTCTTTTAATAGCATTTCTTTGCAATTATTGGATTATCGTTCGAATAATCCATAAAAAATATTTAAAAAAGAAACACACGATTATTATTCCATTTAAAATTTTTTTATAAAAATTTGATAGTCCTACAAAAAAATTAATTCATATTTCTCTTTTAGTTCTCCTTCATCAAAAAATATTTAAAGATTCACGATTATCCATTAGTTCTTCAAAAATATTTAAACA